TGTGAGACAGCACAGATACCTATGACAGAGACTGCCATAAGGGTGATTTAAGATAAAAATGTCTCGTATAAGTTCGATAGCAAATTGACCTCCAAAAAGTCAGAATTCCGGGCCCTTCCTGACAAAGCTTAGCCAATCTGACCCTGCCAGATTCATTTTTCAGGCCAGTCAAAACTATTTAAGTTACTCTTTTTTTTTCTACCTAAATCACTGCAGCAGTTAAGGATACTCATTACTGCAAACTTTGTTGCCTATGTTAACAAATCACTTGTAGTCTGTATCAGACTGCAAGCCCATATAAAAACAAGGCAGAACCCAAAGCTGTGCTTCCTGTCTCTATGGGAACATGCCATAAACAGAGTAGTTTTTAATACTCGGTACAGGATTATTCAGATGCCAACAACCCCAACACTGGGACTCAGAACAGAAAGGCACTTACGGACACAAGTTATCACCCTAAAACCAGATTGCGAAGCATTAGAAATGGCTTCTAAAACCAGAATATTCATTAAGGGTTGAGATCCAAAAAGATCTAGGACTTTCTAACGAGATATGTGTAGATGGAAAAGCATCCATCACCCCTTCTTCATAAAAACCAAACCAAGCAGCAATCATTAGGAGCATTTGTTCTGCAAACAGGAGTTTCCAGGGTAAAGAAGTTAACTCTCACATCACCTGTCACAGAACAGGCACATAAAATAAGTGATTTTCCGGATGGCAGCAAGGATGTGTGGTACCTTTGCCATATTCTCACAGAATCCCATTTTACTGGTCTTTGCTCCAGCGCTTGGAAGACCTTTTGGCTTGGGAGGGACCACTATGGGGGCATCTCTGATCCTTGGTTAAACATAGGGACCTGCAAAGATCCCTATGTTTAAGCATAAGAATACACACCTGAACAAGGACCTGATTCTTCAGCCTATCTGGCAAGCTCCTCCATGGGAAGCTGCACCTCACCACCTCTAAGTGCAGACCCCACACCACACCAGACTGAGACGTGGGGCTGCTCAAAGCCGTGCGGCACAATTTCGCCTCTCCAGCTGTGGCATCTCCCACCAGGAAAACAGCCCCACACCTACTAGATGTAGGGCTGGATTAGTACCTGCTTCACCAATTCAGCTGCCGTCAGGGAAACAATGCGCTATAGAAATGTCACCGCAGGCAATTTGGAAAAAAAATTTCATTACTAAGGTCTTACGCCACAGGCACATATCCCACTGCTGGTGGAAAGAGGCCTGGGGAAATAAAACAAGACTAAGTATGGAGATTGAATCACTGCTATTAGCAGGTTTTTGGGTTGCCTTTCAGGGAGAACAAAGGGCTAACACATCTTTTCTACACGCTATGTGTATGTATGTATTTCTATGATTCTTCCAGAATCATAGAAAAATTTAGGCTGGAAGAGACCTACAATCTGGCTGGGACTCCTCTTAGTCCACCAAGGACACGGGACTATCTAGGACAGACATTAACAAGCAGAAATAGCATAAACGATGATGTCAAGTCCTATCCATCATCTTAACTCACAGAGTACTTTAACTCAAAAAAAAAAAAAGGAAAAGAAAAAAAAAGAAGAAAAGCTCCATTTGAGCCCAAACCCGCCTGTCCTAGCAGGACACATTACAGCTGCAGAGCCTGTCCAGACTAACTTGTCACCATTTGTCACAACAAGAGACGAGACGAAAGGAAGTCTTTCCATAGGTGTTAATGCAAGGCAGCATAAATGCAGTAAGAAAACAGCGAGGACTTTGCCAAGAGCCTGTCCCATTCAGTGGGTTGGTTCCTGTGGCTCAGCCTTAGCTAAGCCGGGCCACCCCACAACACAATAAGGACACCACGGCTTCCTCAAAGTAGCCAAACCACAAAAAGTTGTAATAAGCTTCGCCTCTCCCTCTGGCTGTGGTTACTTTTCTCATCCTTCCCTTCCTACAACTAAGCTGATTGCTGAGTCTCCATAAAGTGATGGAAAATGTGCTTTCATCAAAAAAATAAGCAGAAGGGAAGACGAAAACAGCAGGCCACAGTTACTTAAACGTGATGTCAGTCCATAAGGAACGCTGAAGTGTTCAGGGCTTTGTCTGATCTAATTCCTCTGAGAAAGTTTCTGCTTGATCTTAACAAGAAATATTAATGAATATTTTGGTAAGGAAAAAAAAAAATGAACCAAAATCAGTAAGAGGAAAGTGGGTTCAGATGGTCAGAAACTATTGTTCCGCCTTCAGTCAGCAGAAGAAACCGGACCTCAAGTGTATTAACTTCAGATATGCCCAGATTCTGAGCCGAAGGGAAAACAGGACTAAAAAAGGTCTTACTTAAAGCAAGTTTCTTTTGGAATAGAGAAAGCAAGCCTCCCAGTTTGAGAACAGAGATACTGTGTCGCTCAGGGGCTGCACCAGCCCCAGGAGATACTCCTCAGACCTGCTCACGGTGCATTTCCCCACCGCCTTTTCTGAAGTTCAGACACCAAACATGAACAAAAAATGGTTTTCAAATTAACATCCCAGCTTCACACCACGTACTACTTTTGCTAAGCCAGCAAAGGATGAGTAGATGAAGGTACAGGAGTTCAGCTGAGCCTCCGGCAAGTCTGCCACCATCTCTTTTCTGCTCCTTCTTGTCCACTGGTAACACTAACCACACCAAGAGAAGGATCCACAGATGATCTGCACGGGCAGCCGAGGACAAGGCTGATGAAGGACCGCTGTGCTCACAGGCTCATTACCCAAATAGACACATAAAACAAGGGAAGCCGTTAAAAATCAGCTACGTGAGAGATACTGTACTACAGAGCGTAAGGTATTTCCTAGCATAATTTCTCACGTTCTTCTGATTTGTACGGGTCAAGGTAAATACTTGAGGGATGTCTCGTCTCTGAATTACCACGTTTTTTAAGTGGCTGAGTTCATTTACAGTGCTCCGTGGAAAAGAAGCAACGCAAACCCACTAGAGACCTGTGTGAGAAGCCACTGAACTGTGAACAAACATCAAATGCAAAGCAAGGAGAGAAGGTGGGAGATCATGTCAAAAGAGATAAAAACCCAAGAGGAGAGAGGCCACGTTGCATAAAGCTGAGGACAGAAATAGGCCTGTATTGCCTAAATCTTTGAGAACTATGAACAGAAAAATCACATGCTTTAGTATCATGAACTCAGGAAAATATTAAGTTTGGCAGAAGAGAACTGTTACCTTTGCATAGGTCAATTTTTCAGTTAAAATAAGTATCAAAAATGCTAAGCACAGCATGGTACTGTGCTCAGGGGTGCTGTCTGGAATTCAGTAACGATGCAATTATGATATACATTAACTTACCAAAACATAAATATCTTGTACTGTCCCAAATTAATAAATAGCTTGCTAGAAAGGCAACTAACATTCACCAGAAAGACGTACAATTGACTAAAATCACTAAAAACTAAATTAATACTAAACTGTTGCAAGAGGAAAAGAAGAACAAGTACCATGAAACCGAAAACCCCCTACTGCTTCTTAATGAGATAAGTGGGGACCTGTGGAGGGAGCACAGGACTCCAGCAGAAGGTCAGGAATCACACTTCAGCGCCTCCTCGTTGCCCATCCCTGGAGCAGGATGAAAAACGAGGATAGAATAATCTCTATTGCTCTTCTTTTTGTGTTTCAGCTTCTCTTTCTTAGCCTTAAAAAGTTTTGCACTTGTTTTCAATTTGTAGAGGCATTGAGGAATCTACACTTTCCAGTCCGAGAACATTTTCTTCAACCAACCTATTCCCCCTGCAACTACGGAGCCACACCACCTGCTTTAGTGACCAGTTACATGAAGTCAGCGAACTAGACAATTACCTTCATAAAAAAAATTAGTCCTGGAGTCAGTTTCTAACTTTGATTCGTAAAACTCCAAATAAAAAAGGGAATAAAATCAGGTTAAATTCGCAATGATTGACATAATAGAAACTTAGTAAAATGCTATCCATCAGCTGGATCACACAACCTGAGCACACGGACATTAATACATCAGACTGAAGCGACAGCAAACTCTGAATACTGTTGTCTTAGCAGGTTATGGTTGTGGGGGGATCTTCTTGTGTACAAATCCTCATTTCTGATGCAAATAAAAGCCTGGATTTGTTCAAGCCAGGTTGAACCTGAGAGCCTACTGCAGAGAAGGGCACCGTTTCTGACTGAGTCAGCTCTGCTTGGGAGCTGAGACAGACCAAGGAGTCCCCCGTCGCTGTTCTCGTACTCGTTTTATTCAAAAGACCCAAATTTTGAAGCTTGATGCTTAAATTCAGGCTATGTGACTAGGAGCAGAAGATTGGGAGCTGCTGTTAACTCATGGTAATGCAAAGAAAAAAGGAGACCTTCAATTCAATTGAAAGGCAAAAAAAACCACCTCAGAAGAGATGGACAACATTTCGTACAAAGAACATTAATCCAGGAGTGAATAATGGAGGTCACATAACAGGGACCACCTATTTAGCAGGATTCAAACAACTCTTGAATGCTTACGTAGCAGAAATATTCAGAATAATGAAGCAAACAAGAAGGTGGGGACAAAGCAGAGATGAAGAGTTTTGGGAATGTTATAAAGCCTGGTCCTTCAGGGCACAGCTCCCTCGTGGGGACCAAAACAAATCTTCCTCAGTAAGGTAGCAACAGGCCACTCACCACTTCTGCTGTGTTTTTTCTAAAGCATCTCCAGCATCTCCGTCCGCGGTGCCAAAGCCACAGCAAGGCGAGCACCATGTGGAGAGACACACACCTGGGATGTGCTGGCTGCTGCTGCAACTTCACAAGAGGAGCTGCCGACAAAAAGCTGGAGGTGTTCCTGGGGAGTGCCACAGGCACCGAAACGCTCATCACAAATTTAACAACAGGTTTGATCTGAGAGTGCTGTGAGCTGCAGCTGTAGCAATTCCCTCTGAACCCTTCCCACACTCTTGCTCTTCCTCCAAAAAACTACGTCATGCAGCAAAGTCCATGCTGTGCTGCGCTGCCCTCCCCCATGTCTAAAAAACAAGCCAAACCTCAAGCTTCAGGATATCGTGCTGCAGTTTGCGCTGGAAGTCGAGAAAGTGGGAGATGGTCAGCTTCCCCTTCAGATCTGCCCCAAAGAAGTATGTTGTCAGCGCAGAGTTGAAGCCAGTTTTCAGGGTGTTCCCTGTTGTAGACCGGTCTCTGTGGCGCATGCCCATGCTGGTTTGGGAGCGAATGATGCTCTGGACCTAAAAATAAGAGGGAGGATGTTAAGATCAAAACCACCAGTGGGACTTATACTAGTCAAGTACCAGTATGAAGTACTCCAGGCTTAGACGTGTCATCCTCTATTTGCCTGAAATAATTCTTAGAAGACATGACAATTCAAAAATTTGGCTGAACTTAGGCCTTGTTTTTTTTCAGTCCTCTTGAAAGAAAGAAGAGTATAAAACGCTTAAAATGAGTTTTAAGACACAATCCACCAAGTTTGCAGATGAGCATTTTAGCGCTGATCCTACGCCTGGTCAGCAGAGAGCAGCTTGTTCCCAGCAAAGTCGCAGGAGGAGAGAAAGCCGAGGAAACTGCAGGGAAGAAAAAAAAAAAAAAAGCCTGCACAGCTTTTGGAGCTTCCACTCCTGCTTTACCGTACATCCTCGTCAGTTCACACCAACCCCAGTTAGCCCACATTGCATTTCCTCTCCCCTTGTGCGCAAAACCGGGGTTTTTATACCCAAGGGCAGGCCTGGTCCTTGCTGCCGGAAACTCCTCCATCCCTGGGGCTGCACAGCAAGCGGAGCTGCAGGCAAAGCCTGACCCACCCAGAGCAAAAGGCTCTCCGAAAGTCCCGCAGTCTGCAGCAGCCCAAATACAACCCCAGCAGCAACGCCAGCGGAATAACAAGTAATGCCGAAGTAGCTGAGTATCTCAGCAGACCGAGATATTTGCACAAACACAGCCAAGTGTGAAAGCACACATTATAACAGCAATATCTCAATGTTTTTAACAAACCACACAGGCAAACAGCCGCCTCCTCCTCCCCTGAGCTCTCAGCAGCGCCTGTACCGTCTCGAAGGCACCGCTCAACTGGAGTGGATGCTACGGGACAGGGCAAGGTTGTGCAGGAAAACCCCCCTACCCTCTACGATACGGCAAAAGGTTGAACTTGAAGGATGCGACAGCCGAAAATAACAAACTGTTGGATTTTTTTAAGGGTCCCGTGCTAATTTAAAAAGGGGCGGCCAAGCTAAATGCACACTCACCTCCTCTCTCCATCCCCAAATATCCCACTACCTCTTCCCAGCACCTGCCTGTCTGAATGATTATTGCTGGGATATGAGAAGCCAGGCTTATTCTCTGTCTAATAACAGATCTCTTCCAACAGAAGGATTCATATTAAGGACAATGAGTGGGAGAAAGGAGAGGGGAAAAAAAGCCACCCAACGTGCTACCCGGCACTCAGCTTTGACAGCACAGGCTTCCCAAAGCTCCAAACACCGCTGCTCTGCCTTCAGCCTCTTCCTCCTGCCGACAAAAGTTGGAATGGAGGAAGAAAAAACAGCTGCCAAGAGCTCCAGCTGTCAAAAGGATGCCAGAACCTCGTTATCGTGGTATATGGCGTGTTCAATTTTTTCCTAACAAGAGAGCGAGCGCTGGAACAACCCCAAAGGGGATGCTCCGGAGGAGAACGCCGCGTATCGCTGCTGGGCTCACCTCCCTTGAAACGCCGCCTCCGAACCACAGACTACTGGCTATTCTTCCACTACAAAGAAAACCAGGTCAAGTCAGAAGGGGGAAAAAAAAAAAAATACAGGAAAAAAAGGTTTTGGGATTTTTTTTTTCTTTGGAATTACACACTGTGACGCGAGGAAGGATTTTTGCAGTGTAAATAGCAAGTCCTTATTTTGCGTTGTGCTCCACTTTAACTGCGAGCTCTGCATGCACATTTTAAAGACAAATATTTATAAACTGTCTGAAGCAATGCAGTTTATGACCAGCTTGGAAAACTGCCCCTGTTTCTGCAGAAGCGAGTGTTTACCGCACCGCAGGCTGTTCGATACAGCATCTTTTCCCGGGTGTTATTTATAAGGCATCCTACACCCCTCTTCTCTCCCCATCTATAGCAAGTATCAGACAGTTTGAAAATCCATCTGTAGGCACTGGAGCCAAAATTATTCAGCTGGTCCCTATTTTGGGTAATCCTTCTATTACGCAGAAAGGCAGACAACCACTGCAAGAAGTTGTCCTCCAGCCCAACCCGGTGCTGTCCTCCCCCACAGCTCATCGATCTGACAAGAATGGGAAGCACAGAGCTGCTTCACTGTCTTTTGTACATATTTCAGCCTAAGTGTTTGCGATCTGTTTCATCTTTTGCAGCAGACAAGAAGGAAAAAAAACAGGAAAAAAAAAAATCAGTGAAAATAGTTAATGGTGTGAACAGAAATCACTAGTAACACTGCTTGAGTTTACTACTTTTCATCTGACTTTTAAATTAAAAATAGAACAGTAAACTAATAATTTACATGCTGAAGGCTGAAAGTTGAAGATGATACCGATGGAGGCACCAAACTACCTAACACTATGCACTAACCATATGCATCAACTGGAAAACAAACCTGAGGCTCTTCAGTGATGCCTGAAGAAACTCAGTATTTTCTTATTAGGTAGTTAAAGCCTCTGACTTACTTGTGTATTAGCTAAATTACCACAGCTAATTTTATTCCTTGATGAATACTCTTAAGGTTTGTGAGACACTAATGCAAAGAGAACTGCTGTTGGTCGTCTCCAAAGACGATGTGTGAAAAAGGAGTAAGAAATTCATTCCCACGTGCTCACAGCCAGCGGAGGCTGTACGATGCTTCTGTGATGACCCTTTTCTTTCCCTTCTTTTTTCCTCCCCATTCTCCCCAAAACAATGTTGCTCTTCTAAACTGATGCCACCTCTAGTAGCATATGCTTCTGGAAGGGCCAGTTCCAGCTGCCCCTACCAGTTAAGATGTTTACGGGACAGATCTGCAAACCCTGCCATCCTTCATGCTCTTACTGAGGCATTTCCATAAGGAGTGAAAAAGAGTATTTACCCTATAAATTATCATGTGTTACATTATATATGTGTACAACGTTATATATGCACCTCCCGCTGAAGCTATGCCTTTGCTTTAACTCTGTCTGCAAAGCGCAGCAAATCAGTTTTCGTGACATCTGCAAAGATACTGTCAGCTTCTTCCCACTTTCCAAAACAGCTCCTTCATCCTCTGACTCGAAAGCTCTGGAAGATCAGCCTTCACCAAAATATTCTGATGCTAACGAGGAATTTTATTCCTTTATACAAAGGCAGTGACGCATGTAACAAGCTTAACAAAAAAATGTCCCCTTTCCTAAGGATTTTTATCTGACTTAATGGACGTATAACTTCCCTTTGCCTACCGGATGATTTGAAATCATTTAATTCAATTCATCTTCATAGCACTTCCGAAAGATCCACCCTCAAGAAACATTCTTTCTTACTTTACATGTCTAACAAAAAAGCCAAACATGACACCTGCATTAGTACCTTGGCATCACTGCATTTTTAGTAGGCAGTTAACCATTCTCCGCTTTTCTTAAAATTCGTTTATGTCCGTAATTGATTTCACTCTAAAACTTCCGTAACTACTGTAAAACACCTTTTGAATTGTTAAATATTATCAGATAGCTGCAGTGGAGTGCTCTATTCATGCACTCTGCAAATAGAAGGGAAGAACAACATTTTTTACTTGGGAAAACAGGAAACTTGGATTTTTTCATAGCTGAATCTGTAGTTCGTAGGGAGGCAGTGCCAAACAGCACAACCACCTGGACACAGCCGTGAATTCCAATTTGCACTTGCAGGATAATTACAAACTCCTGGCTTTACATTACAAGCTATCACGTGAAGGGATATCATACTGGAGATAAACATACTCCCAATTCTCCTCATAGTCCTAAGTTTGCATCTAAAAATGTACAGTTAACCAGATATATTACACAGCTGTGGAGCAAACTCATAATAATGACATCATACCCACAGGTAATAATTTAAGGAGGATGACAGTAAAAGATTAGAAGGGGGTGGGGGATTTATTTAACAGAGCTGCTTTGCCATGAGTTCTTCCCATTTATAGCAAGTGCCCCAAGCATGACCTCTTACAGACTCTTCTGAAGTTAACTAGTCATTCAATCAACCGATGAAGAGGAATTTTTAACTAGATTATTCAGGGCTGCTTTGTTCTCAGGTATCAGTACACAGCTTTTCACCTTCTCCAAACACGGATGTCCTCCAGCATAAAAAAAAAAAACACAAACCAACACAAGGGCAGGTGTGTTTTGTTGGTTGTTTTTTTTTTTTTTTTAAACCAGAGAGTCTGCTTTCCTTTTCCCAGAAGCAGCAGCTTCCGCTTGCCCATTAAACGTACAGCCCTGAGGGTTACAGGGTCACGGAAGTGCCAGGGACCACATCAATATTAGGTAAATTAATGGTGTATCTCCTCCACCTTGTTCTTTGATAACAGAGGTGGCGAGTCCCCATCCAACTGGCCAGTTCCCTTCTTTGCAAACACAGTTACTTTTCCTTTCACGATCAGCCCACACACGAAGCTTTGCTAATATACAGCGATTTCAGGATGTTTATGAGTTTCCAAAACCTTAAGGCTGTTTTCTACATAGGCAAGAAAACCATACCACTTCTGCCTGGGGAAGTCAGATCTTTTCCCCAACGACTGCTCAAATCTTCAATCTATTCTCACTCTAACACAATCACAAACCATAGCTTATAGGAGGACCTCACCGGTATCAGGTATGCAGGCTAAGCTCATTAAAAAGCCCGCATCAAACTCCCTGATGATGAAAACTTGTATAAAGTAGGGGAAAGAAACTAATGAAAATACACTCTAAATAAACACGGTTTTAGATTGCACTGAAATAAGTGGCTAAACTCTTCTTTGAAGCAGACTCGCCCTGGTTATTCTCGGAAGACAAACAAAATTAAGGAATGCAGTAAAAGCTGTGGAAGAAAGTAAAAAAAAAAATTCTATGACATCAGCGGAGAAAAAAAAAGTTCTTTAATCTACTTTGGAGATGATATCTTATAAAGATAGCTCAGTGACAAAGTCACAGGAAATCAGAGTTTATACTTACAGTTGTCCTGGTTGAACAAAAAATGATGTCCTGAAATATCCAGTTAAAAAAAAATACAAAACCAAAAACAGGCACTGAGGGAAGAGCAGAGCATAGAAGGAAAAGACATAAACCAGCACTAGTCGCAAATATAAATCACAATAACATCATAGAGGAGTGCTGCACTTATTCATAAGATGCCATAGCATTAAGAAGTCAACCTGTCATTCAACTTGCCTGCTCAAACTCTTCCATGTCCACCTCGCCGTCACCGTTGAGATCAAACATCTTAAAGGCGATTTCAAAATTCCTCTGGGGAGCTACATAAAAAAAAACAACAAACCACACAATAAAAACCAACGACTAGTTAATGAAGATAGAAAAGCTCAATAAAAAAAGGCACAAGTTCAGAATTGCTTTATCCAAAAACGGTTTTCCATAATTCCTGCAAGTTTAAGAAAATGTAGCTCTTGGAAATCTCTAGCTATGACCTTCATGGTGCTCCTTTTACTAAAGATCTAGACAAGGAGGTTGGGAGGAGATGTTTCTTGAACAAAATTTACTCCATTTACAGATAGAAAAAGCACACAAGCGAGACACCATCTAATATTTCTAATGACAATCAACAGAAAGTGACGCTGTAGCAAGTGTTCCAGCCGCACATTTTAATACCAATTTGGCCAGAGGACATTCCTCTGGCGTTACAGAGCGCTCTCTGTGCTTTGTGAAGCAGCCGGTGGGTGAGGAGCAGACCTGGACTTTGGGTAACTCTCTTCCAGACTCAGTTCTTATCTCACCATGCAAATTTAAACAAATCATTACCAACTCGGTCTCAGTCCAATGATGAGATTGGGATAACACATGAGCTGGAGCTCACCAGCTGAGACGCACCCGAGACAGCCTGGTACCTTATTTTTCATTGCATTTAGTCTATGTTGTCATGGTTTATTTAGCCAGGACTCTGCAAAAGCATCACTTCACAGCCACCCATCACAGCAAAACCACGCTCTTTCCCCTGCATCCCACCAAAGAATTTCAGTATGTTTCCATTTTGGGCTCTGCAACACATCACCATTTAAAGCTACGACACAGTGCCACAATTTTTTTCCAAATTAAGGTAATATATGAGAATTTATCTTGCTCTGCTACTTTCAAATACATACCACCTACAGGAATTTTGGTGTTTGCTGGGATTTCTAGGGAATCCTCTAGGCTATAACTAGACCTTAGCTCGTTATCTTAAGTGTTCAATTAAAACTTAGTCCCTTTTTTTGTTCTGAAGATGACTCTTCCCCACCCAAATCTGGCAGCAGGATGTGGATCACTGGTGAGGCTGATCCTCCTTTAACCTCATCTGTTGCGATCAACTTTTAATATTTCTTGCGGATGCTCAAAAAGTAACGATTTTCTGCAAGTGGCGTTCTGCGTTAAGGCATCTCCCAGACGGGGGTGGGAGGGTGAGCGCAAAGAGGAATCACTCAGACAAAAAGAAATTAATACGGAATTAACTGAACTGGATTTTGTACATTAGTTACAGCTTCAATTTAGGGCCAGGAGACTTTTACATCGTGTTTTCCCCTTGCTAAAATAAACTGTAGCACTCTATCACTAAAAGATTCAGAAAACATGTTAATGAGATGACTTTTTCCAATCACTTTGTGCCTTAAACAGATGTATAACAACATTAAACTCGACGGCAGGAACGGCCTGTCACTACCCGCCTGATATATACAGCGCATACAGCCCCGCCGTTATCATCTCCGGTTTTCCAATTTCCTCCCGCCGATTATTCAGGCTTTACGTTCCAAACACCATGTGCATAAGCGATGTCTCCTATAACCACGGCAATCGCCAGCAGCATGTGGTGGGTTATTTCATATCCATCCCTGCAGCGTGCCTCCACGCAGCTCCTCTGCTCTGCCTGTGGGATGGGGAGACCTTTGCTCTCCGTCCCTCATCGTTTCAGCGTGAGCCGAGATGTACTCAGGTGGACCGGCCATCCCCAACACCAACTTCACCATCTCTTCAACGATACAATCTAATCAAAGGGATTTATACAAAAAGCCTCCTCTGTATCCAGCCCTCATTTCCAGTGATTAATTCTCCATCTCCTTGAGAGCGACAATATTGAGCACCTTCCAATTCCCCGCTTAATGTTTAAATAACACATCCAATTTTGTACACTTTAATTGCAAGTACTGCATGAAAGCCCGGACACAATTCCTTCTTATTAGCCCCAAAATCTAGCACTGCACGGAAAGTGTTGTTTCCTCTTAGGAAGAGGAGGAATATACAAAACTCTAGTTACAAGACACTAGAAAAAGAGCAATTTACACATCTCTTCTTTCTTCCCCCGTTTTCTCTGCCAGGGTACAGCGATGTATATTCTGAGATTGGAAAATGTGTTAAAAATTGGGGTTTGGGGTGGATTTTTTCTCCTTTTCCTTAAGGAAACATATAATACCCCGTCCCATTCGCGCAGACGCAGGGTGAACAGAGGAAGCATGGTACTTCACTTACCCCTCAACAAAGGCCGTTTCCTTCCTTTCCCTTCTCTAAATACACATTTTCAAGAGCAGTTCATCAAAGCCCCAGAGGAGAACATTACTTGCAAAATTAAAACGAACAGTTCAGCATCAAAAATCTGCAGGGTCAGTATTTTCTAAGGACAGGGAAGGAAAGTGGCTTTAAATTGGCAAATTTAATTACTTCATTCCTTTAGCTAATATAAGCGACACATCCCATTTCTTCCTCTGATCTGCATATCTAACTCCAATTACTTGTAACGACACTTAAATCCAACAAACATGAATCGGAGCCAGGGAAACCAGAGGGCACCGAAGACAATTAGCTCATCCTGCTTCTGCTCAGGAAGAAATGTTCATTAAGATGTATGTCTCTGATCTCCGGCAGCCTGAATTTATTGGTCCCGAGTGAGATGATTTCTGCCGTCGGCCCCCACCCCCCCCCCCCCCCCCGCCTTCGGCCCCCCTGCCCCATTACTCACGGTTACATCAGCCTGTACAACCTCCATTTCTCTTCTTCCTCTTGTATTTAGACCTTTCAGAAACTTGCAGACCATAACAGCAGCAGATAGTGGTTCACCTAGCTAAACTTAGCCCCTTTCCCCCCCCCTTTTTTTTATTCTGCACCCCAATTTTACCATTCTCACCTGCAGCTTCTCTAAATTTCCCCACTGCCTCCTTAATTAAGATGCCTCAAACGGAATGCAATATTCCTCCTGCAATAGTTATCAAAGCCATTTAAAGGACTGTTTGCTTTCAATATGGCACGATGCTTGTCTTTACGAGGGAAAACCACTTCTGGATTTCCCCAAGCGCTGAGCTGCTTTTCCAGCTAGCTCTGATTTTGTGAGCTACCTCCTCACCATCCTTTTTGACGTTATTCAGAATCAAGATTTTTTTCATTGCAACTGATTTCCCCTGGGCAGCGAGTCAGGAACTGGTCAGAGCAGCCGCGGTTTCTTTTCCAGCTTTATTTCTAGTCTTTAAGTATTCAAGAGGATACAACAATTTCCTAATTGATTCCTCCGAATCATTAACATAAATGAAAACATAGTACTGGAGCCCACGCCAATACCAATCCATGAGTTACCTATTCCCTGCTTTGACATACACGCAAATATATCTAGAAAGATCAGGTTGAAAATATTCTGTAGATCCATAGCCCCACCAGCTCTACACACAAGTAGCTTTTTCAACTAACCTGGGAGTCGGTGCAACGGGCAATTAACATTTTTCTTGACTCGTTTGTTCAAATCAAGTATTTGGGAACAGAAAGGCATTAAGAAAACCAGAAGCCACAGGCGGTAGCGTTACAAAGACGAGCAACCTCCACCAAACAGATGACAAGCAGCAGCACTGACCACGTTGAAAAACCCACCCGATCCATCAGTATCAGTTCCCCAGGGAACCTCTGAGCCATTAGACAAGTTGATTAGGCATCTTTAAGCCAATTATGTCATTTTTAACCATTTTGAATTATTCAATGGGCCAATTTGCAGCACTATATTGCCATTCACTCTCACCAGAAGCAATGCATTCTGGAAGACAGTAAATGCTCACTGATGAGAAAGGCCACATTTTACTATTTTTGCGCTCTTTTGATCTTCTCTTTCCCCCACACTCAATGCTCCGCACTTGGAGATATCTCTCAACAAGTCTCTCCCTCTGACTGCCGTTGCAACTCACGCAGAACACCACTACAGTCACAAAAATGAAGTGTCTGTAGAGCATCCACCTCAAGTGGAGGTACCGCATTTTAGGAAAACTATTTTTGGAACACACTTTTGGAAAATAAACCCTTCAGACATAGTTAAAAATTTCTTTGTCTGAATTTAAACACAAAGCAGCTCAGGACTTCGATATCCATCCCGAAGCCTCCTAACACCCCAAGCAACTCCAGTGCGGCACAACAGATCAAGAATTCAGCTGGGGAGTTACTTTAAGAAAAATTAGTCCTTAGGAGTTAAATATCCTATCATTGCTTCTTTCCCATCTATCCCAAAATTAAGAAAAATATATGCACAAAGGCCATAGTACCCTGAAGCTGAAAAAAATGTATCTTCATAATCAATCCAAAATTAATGTAGTCCTTCTAAGGCAGGAACAGATTTTCATCTACAGAAATGGCTCTTCAAGCTTTGCAGCTGTAATATTTTTTCTTTCCCCTTTTTCAGGCCACAACATAAAAAAAAAAAAGCTTACCTTACCCGTCCAGCCAAAGATTAATCAAGATTCCCCTCCCACCCTTAAGTTACATGAATCAGCACGGTCATTATTCCGCCTGACTCCACACATCGGTATTTTAGCCAAGAAATTTTTCTGTATGCGTTTGAATTGGAACATTTCTGTTTGAAGGAAAGAATTGGGGTCATAGATGATCTCACCCTTACAAGACCGCAGCCAGCAGCCCCGCACTGCTATCTAGTCCATTGTAACAGTAATAGGGAAGAGCTAGATGATGCACTTACACATAATGCATCTCCAAACGCTGTAATATTTTTTTTGAGAACAGTTACAGCCTTACAGGGAAGCAACTATCCATATAATATAGGTGGCTGAGCCTCACCTGCAATAAATACGGGGGGAAAAAAACCCTCCAACAAATATTAAACCGTCCTAATGTTGCAGATATTTTCCTTTCAAATTATTCCACTATTTCAGAAAACATATCCAAATCCTACCAACTTTTTTTTTTTAAATGTTAATCATTAAATAACAGGCAGCTAAACTAACATAGTCCACAGCGTGGAAACTGAGCCACAGCATCATCGGTTGTGATGGTAAACTATCTTTAA